TTAGGGTCGACCTGCAAATATGCTGGCCTCCCCATGAGTCGGTCAAGGTCGGAGTGGGTCTGCCCGATAGTGCTTTTTGAGTCCCCCCCATCCCTTCAATAAGTTAAGGGTCAAATGCACTCCCTGGGACTCGAACCAAATCAATTCTTCCTGGTGTGCCATGTCTTACAACACAGGAAAACTTAGCCTACCCAATATTTAATTAAATCATGTTGGACACAATATATATATATATATAATATTAAACAATTATGATGTTGGACAAAATATAGTATTTATTTATTTTTATTTTATGACAATATATATATATATATATTTTTATTAATAGACACTCAGGGTTTTGTTTTTTTTTATTTGTAAAAGCTCTAATACCACTTTTGTCACAACCTAAACCCGATACCCAAAGACTCGGCGTCGCAACAAGATAAAAGTAAAATAATTCTAAAAATTTTGTAGTCGTAGCGCAAGCAGATAAATTAAATAAATTAAAATAAAATAATTGGGTACCAAATATTTATTTAAAGGAAACAAACATAGTCATTTGGGCTTTTATTTTATTCCAAGTGTCCAATTAGAAATACAAATAGTACAAAAAAAAATATATATATATATATATATTGTGGTTTATCCCCCCCCCAAAATTTTGATCATGCTAAGTCTCGTCACCTAAAAGGGGTAACAACTATAAGCACATAGCAGAATGAGAAATATTATACTATGAGTATATGGGCACAAAATAGCCATGGATGGTTATTTAAGCTAAAACATTAACATAATTTAAGTTGTATAAATAAATTATTTAAGTGACAGAAACTGAAATAAAAATTACGTAATTAACTATAACCACGGTACAGACCAAAACAGAACAGGGGTCATTGGAGTGACAATCAGAACATGGGTCAATGGATCCATGACAAACAGAGGACCACAAGGTGGCCAAACATGGGCCAATGGTTTATTTAAGTCCCCCAAGACGCGGGACTCCCGTAATGGTACTTACAGAACATAATTGTTTATAAATTCTTTGTCAAATAATTTCTAAAATTTAAACTAACATGTCCATGGGTTTCAATTTAAGCAAATAAATTTCAGAAAATAATCCATGTAATTAAAACATTAACATAACCATAAAACATAAATTATATAAAATAATTTGTTGTAACTCAAAACATTCGTAAAATATATTATGGTAACTCAAGACATATAGAAAACATATTATGGTAACTCAAGGTATAATATAACTTATCTTAATGTTAATTCCTTACTATGAATCCCACTTGATGCTCCGAGTCACACATCGAGGTTATATTGTCTCTCCTATTTGTCTTTATATATATATATATATATATATAATTTTCACCTGCCCCCTACGCTTCCACCATAATCAAATGGATTTGAAAATGCACTTGAGCATATTGTATATATGTATTGCATCATAATCATTTATGTTAGTGGAGCATGTTTAGTTTTTGAAATATTCTCTACTAGGCTTTATGCTTACCCTACGTGGTTGAAAATATTTTTCAGGTGTACAAGTGTGGATGTGGACTAAGAAGTGAAGTTGTGTTCAAAACCGTGTAGGGTGGTTCTGTTATTTGTAGGCCACTGGCCATTCATGTTATTTATTGGTTGTATGCCATTCTTGTAAGGGTTACACCTTTTTTATATGATATAAGCCTCTGGGCATTCAGTTTAATTTATAACAATTTTTTCATAATTAAATAAATCATCAAAATAAATTTTAGATTCTATTAAAACATAATTAAATAAATCATCAAAATAAATTTTGGATTTAAAATATAATTAAATAAATCATCAAAATAAATTTTAGATTCTATTTTTCTCTTTCAAATAAATTAAAACATAATTAAATAAATCATCAAAATAAATAAGTCTAACACACGGTACAGAACAGAACAAAACAGGGGTCACTGGAGTGACAATTAGAATAGGGGTCAATGGATCCATGACAAACAGAGGACCATAAGGTCGTCAAACAGGGCCCAATGGTTTATTTAAGTCCCCCAAGGCGCGGGACTCTCGTGGTGGTACTTATAAAATATAATTGTTTATAAATTCTTTGTCAAGTAATTTCTAAAATTTAAACAAACATATCCATGGGTTTCAATTTAAGCAAATAAAGTTCAGAAAATAATCAACGTAATTAAAACATTAACATAACCATAAAACATAAATTATATAAAATAATTTGTTGTAACTCAAAACATTCGTAAAATATATTATGGTAACTCAAGACATATAGAAAACATATTATGGTAACTCAAGGTATAATATAACTTACCTTAATGTTAATTCCTTACTATGAATCCCACTTGATGCTCCGAGTCACACACCGAGCTTATATTGTCTCTCCTATTTGTCTTTATATATATATATATATAATTTTCGCCTGCCCCCTACGCTTCCACCCTTCTCCCTTTTATACTTGGTTCACATGCTTGCTTAACAAGCAAATTTTTCCCCTACTTGATTACTGTACAGGTGTTACAACATCAAGCTCTCAGGTGGCATTGTTTTGTGTCTTAAGCCCTACTTTTCCTACACGTGGCCTTACCAATGGTTTGAACTCCTTTGTTGTGGAACCTACTTGGCCTAATCATATATTAATTTTTGATAAATTTTAATGGTCCCGTATTTTAACATATATGTTTATAATTGCTTTGAATTAGCCCCTAACAATATATTTACTATCTTGTTATGTTTTGGTAGCAATCATACTTTTAATTTGGAATTCATTTTGGCACGTATAATTATAGAATCAAATGTTTAATTAATTTTTATTATTTTGTTCCAATTCTAAAGGCTATGATTTCTTAAAATTACATATGATTATATGTTAGGTACACGTCTAAAAACCTCACCATGCAACTATAAAATGTCATTTACTGCTTATTAAAACATTATACCTTCTCTCTCTCTCTCTTTTGTTTTTTTGATATAACAAGGAATTCGCAGTATTAAATTTAAAAAGATTCGGGTGTCACAATCACGGTAGACAAGTGTTGCACTGATTGACTGCATGCACAAAACGTGGCCTCTCCCTCGCCTTTGGATCCCTGATTACCACGTGTTTTAATTATGTGAAGAGTGTAGAAGAGTGCTAGAGAGAAGAACGTTGGAGAGGAGGCGGATCCGTCATGTTTCTGACCAATTAAAAACTATTATTTCTTTGGTATTTCACAATTATTTAATATAAAATCGTGAGTTCTATCATTTCCACCAATCACAATACACTTAAAGCATCACGTGATAGTGTCTAAGGAAAATCAAGGCTTTGTTTGGCGTAAACTTTTTTTTGGTTAAAATAGTCAATAAAGATAAAAGAGATTAAAATAATTAATAAAACAAAATATCACGTCTAGATCAATCATTTCATTTCTCTTTCACAACCATCAAATCATTTTTTTGTTAAAAAAATTACTAACTATCATTCTAAATATAATTTTTTTTAACTAGGTTAAAATAATCAAATAATCAAAAAACTAGGCTAAAAAAGTTTGGACTAAATGGAGAAATTATCAGAGATTCATCAGAATGTCCAGAATATTATTGAAAAAAAATAAATGGATAAATTATAGTGAAAAACATAGCAAAATGTGCTAAATATTAATAAATTAAAAGGAAAAAAAAAACATAACAACAACAAACAATAATGGAAAAAAGTATATATTATTTTTTAATTTTTGTAAGATTTAAACAAATAATTTTAAATATTGATCAAACTGTAAAGTAAGCTTTGAAACTGTAAAATGTTACAGTTTTAAAGTATGATTCTATTAAGTATCTAACTTTATTAATCAAATTGGAAAACATGTTATGAAACTGTAAAATTTTATAGTTTCGCACAATTCTAAAGAATGTTACGAAACTATAAAATTTTACAATTTTAAAGTATGATTCATTTCAGCACCAAAAAAAATTAAAACTGTAAAATTTTACAATTTTCACTGCCTGTAACTAAAACTTAAAAACAACTTATTTAGAATTTGAAAATTTTCTCTATTAAAACAGAAAAATAGAGGTGTGTAGTAGAGAAAATGCAGAAAAATTGAGAAATCGAAGGAGAGAAACAGATATAGAGAGAATATTGCACTCCGGCAACTATTTTTGGTTTAAATCTAGTCGGATCTCATGTAAGATTTGATGTAGATCTGAGTAGATATACTCATTTTCTTCGTCGAAAACTCGTCTCTTTCGTTGTTAGTGAGAGTGAAGTAAGGAGTCGATAGTTAGTGGATGCCGGTGAATCCCAAACAATGATAGCCGTCTGTCACCGACGACTATATATTAGAAAAAGAAAGAGAAAAAGTAAGGCATAGTCACTGATCACCGAAAATCATGAAGAGAAAGAGGTAAACAAAAATAAATACACAAATAAAAATGAACAAGAAAAATACGTAGTGGACTTTTGAGAGTATTCAAAAGATTGTGGAACTAAATAGACTTATCCTCTTTTAAATAGGACTTTCAAATAATATAGTACTTTTCATTTTTTTAACTTATCTAAGTCTTATCATCTTTTTACTTTTTATAGATTTTTTTGTAATAAAAAAAAACAACTATTTGCTCAAAAACGATTTTGATTCTCATGAGAGAAAGACTCTCACGTAGGCCTTTAGTTGTACTAATAAAAATTGAGAATTTTAATTTTAACATTTTAAGGAGAATTTTAATAAGATAAAAAGGAGTGGATCTATTATGATATTTGTATTTATATTTATATTTTTTATTTTTTCTCTTATCACGAAAATTAATGGTGTCTATCATTGTTGTTGGTTATATGTAGAAGGCATTTTGAAAAGTTGGTAAATTTTTTTCTTTTTGATTTTTTAATTAATTTTTTTTTATATAAAAAAATAGGAAGATGTTGTGATTAAAAAAAAAAAAAAACGAAAAGTCAAAAAACACTGATTTTTTTACCACGTTTCCAAAACGCCCCATCGTGGAAGGTAGAGCAACACGTTATCATGCCCCAACATTTACGTCAGAACACAGTGAGAAAGTTCGTGGAACTAAAGAGCGATACAGTGACTGTAATTCCATTTCGGCGGCTCTCTTTCCCCGATTTTCCTCCGTAGATTCCTTTCAAAAACACTTCCTACTTTTATTGTGCTCGCGATCTCGATCACACACCACGATTGCCAGTCTGTGATTCGATTTCCATTCGTTCGATTCGACCACTTTCTTCAAAGTCTTCGCTTCAAAAGTTCAGGAACGACCTCTGAATTGCAAAATTCTGGGTTCAGTTCATGGCGGAGTTGTTCTGAGATCGGAGTGAAATTGAGAGAGGAAAAAGAGCGAGCGAGTTCAGTTCATGGCGGAGCCTCGGCGGTACAGTCTCGGCACTCAACAATTAGGTTAGTTGTTGAGAAAAATTTGTTTCCTTTTCTGGCTTGTCTTCTACAATTTCATGTATGTGCTTGTTGATCTTAGTTGTTCTTATATGTGTTTGTTTTAGTTTGCTAGAAATTTTATGGGGGTGTTTGGGAAGTTTGGTTTTTGTTTTTTTTCACTAAAAACAAATTAGTTACAAAATCAAAAAAAAATTAATCCAAACAAAATATGACATCAAATTTCATAATCATTTCACTTTTTATTTCAAAACATTCGCATTCAACTGCAAAAACTATCTTCCCAAACACAAAAAAAAAAAAAAATTCTCCAATAATATTCTTAAAAAAAAAAAACTCACTTCCCAAACATCACTTAGTCTGACTTATTATAACTTATTATAGAATCGATTCTTAATAATCCTCTCTCTGTATATAGGTGTATGTGTAGTTATTATATGTGGAGTGGAGTCTATGGAGTTGGATTTATTTAATTTCTTGAAAACTATTTGAGAAGCAAGTATTCGATGAATTTTCTAGTGGAAAAGATATTTGATAAACTTTGACCCTGGTTAGGTGGAGGTACGCTGATAATATGTTTTTGTAGGAAAAAAAAAAGAGGGGGCAAATGCTAAATGAGTGTCTCTTGGCATTGTTTAATATTGGGATTAATGTAAAAGTTCCTTGAAAATTGGTGAAGTGTTAAAAAGTGTGTTGATTTCAATAAAAAGAGCATTGAATTCAGTGAAAAGGTGTCTTGTGTTCTTTTTATAAAAATAATTGTCTTTTTCTTACGACGTGGGGAACTTACAAGACACAATAAAGAATTAAGAGAAATGGAGTAATCACTGTCATCATAATTTTTAAAAACCTTCTTATTTCAAAGCATCTTTTAAGTTGTTAGAATAAGCTTGAACACTGGCCCTGCCCTACATTTAAATCCCTATCACCAGTAATCAAAATACAGTTTGGAATGGCCCAAGGCATTGGAGAACCTGAGAGGAGTAAAGGAGGAGTTGCAGAATTGGAATAAGATCAAATTAGGAATTTTTTTTTTTTTTGGTCATTTGGGAGCAAAGGAGTATGAAACCATGGATTAGAATCGGAGGGCATTAGGTGGTGAAATGGTTGCAGAAATAAATGGTTTAGAAGCCAGAGAAAGCATTCAATTAGTTGGAGATGTGCCAAATGTTCAAGTTCTAACTGTTACAGTAAGTAGACAAATATGTGTTTCTATAAAACTGGATGATTTGAACATTGTTTCAAACCTGGTAGTTTAGTAGTTTTTATTTCATTGCTTCCTTTCTGTTTGGGCATTTGAAAGTCAGCAGATTATTAACTGAGTTTGTGGTTGAATGCAGATATTGAGCAAATACTATTGGAGGCCCAACATCGATGGCTACGTCCTTTTTGCTGAAATTTGTGAAATTCTTCAAAATTACAAAAAATTTCGTATTGCTCCAGAGCCTGCAAATAAGCCTCCAAGTATGATTCTTAGCTGCATTCAGTCAGTCAATAAGTACAGAAATAAACATGCACACAAGAAATATTCATCTCACAGTTTAAAGCAAAAATTCAAGTTCAATAATTAACTCGATAGAAGTCAACAATCTTGAAACAAAAGCTACTTAGTCACTAACCAAAAAGAGCTTCTGCAAAAGAGGGACATGGGAAGGGTAAGATGTAATAAAAGAAATGTGCACATTATACAAACTGTAAACACAAAACTTGAACAATGAAATTGACTTAAGTGTAAGAAAAGCAATTAACCAAGATCATCAATTCCCCAAATAGGAAATGACAAAATAATCCCCAACCAATAAACCTCAAACCAAACAAGAACACAAGAAATATTTGTCCATTTGGCATCATTTTTTTGCTTTAATTTATTGGAAAGTTCTTTCATGATTTTCATATTATCTTTTAGATGGATTGGAGTGTTAAAAATGATCTGTTGGTAAAATTGCTTCTTGCATAAAACTCTGTTTTGGTCAAGCTGTTTGTAGTTCATTTGTTTTTGTTTTATTTTCTATTGTCTTCTTCTTCTTCTTCTTCTTCTTCTTCTTCTTCTTCTTCTTCTTCCTTCATTTTTTTTAACACCCAAGATCAAATCTGTATTGCAACTTGTGTGATGCCATTTATTTCCTCAACACTTCTGTAACATATGCTGTAGGTGGTCAATCATTTACACATAAATTCAAAGTTGAGAAGTTCAGTATGGGAAAAACTGGGAAGTTGGAGAAGCAGTAATTTCTTTATATTTAACGTCTTTAAACTCTTATTTTCAAATATTTTTCTTGTGTTTGCCTTGGGCACACTTTCTAAAGGCCAAGGATGATCAACTTTTTGTCCCTTGCATTTTTCAAGTTGTTATTCACTTCTCACAGCTATCCCGCGTTGCCTATTTATATCTCTTTATTTTCATGCCCTTGTTCTTGGGTCTTTTTGTCCGCATAATTGTTTCTATTTTTTTTTCCCCCCAACTCTCTATGTTAAACTTCCACTCTTTGTTCCTTTATATGTTTTATTGCTAAATATAATTATCTCGTGGTTCCGACTGACATCATCATTGAAATTCCCATTTGTAACCTCTTTCAAATTCAATGAGATAGAGATCCAACTAGCACTTAGTGTTATCTCATTTTTGGCTCAACATTGATTGTTGTTGAAATTCATTTTCGATTTTTGTTTCCTTTAAACCCACTGGGAGTTTATATTCTGCTTAGGACATCATTCTCCACACAACTTGTGGCTTGGAAAATGCAATTGCATTGTTTTCTGCGGATGGCATTGATGCTTATTTGTCATTTCAAAATTTTTTGTCTGTCTTGGTTCTTCTAGTCCTGCTTTTTTATCCTCACTACAAGAGCCTTTTAGTTTTAAATTAGCTGCCCTGGTTATTTCCTCTCTGTAATTGATAATTCTAGATAGTTAGGAGTAGCACACAGTTTATGTTTAACTCATAGATAATAACATGGTTTGAAGCTGTAGGTGCATTTATTGCTGTCATGTTTGTGATTTAAATGTGTCATTATCTTCATTTAGGGCATTTTCCCATTAAATTTTGTTGGATAGAAGAGGGCATTTTCTTATATCTTCAAAGTATCTTGGCTTGACGTGCATGTCCCTTTTCAGGTGGTTCACTTTTTCTTTTTGATCGAAAGGTGTTGAGATATTTCAGAAAAGATGGCCATAACTGGAGGAAGAAGAAAGATGGAAAGACAGTGAAGGAAGCTCATGAGAGGCTCAAGGTTTGTGCAAAAGGATGATGCTTGTTGAAGGCAATTTTTACTTTTTAAGTTGATTTTGTCTACACCAGACAGAAGTTTGTGACTTTCAGGAATTTTGCACTATATGATATAATGAATAGTTCATGCTGTGTATTTTTATTACACTTCCAAAGTAATTTGCTTGTATAATGTCCTTTCAGGCTGGGAGTGTTGATGTGTTGCATTGCTACTATGCCCATGGAGAAGAAAATGAAAATTTCCAGAGGCGAAGCTATTGGTTGCTTGAAGAGTGAGTGTCTAAAAGTTTGCCTTGCTTTTATCTAACCGGAATATAATATGTAAAATGTTGCTTTAATAATTAGGTTAGTATAATAATTAGTATGCTTTAATAATGTACCTTTAATAATGTTGTTTGGTTTGTGCTTCTACTTTCGGTTTGTAATTGTTCTCCCTCTCCTCTATGAAGGAGAGAGCTCAACACACCATTATACACATCAATCAATAATACAATTCTCTTTATACATTCAATTTTAACATGGTATCAGAGCAAGGTTGAGAACCTAGTAATTCCGCTTCACCGGCGGGCGGCAGCCTCGCCTTGGCTGCCCGCCGGACCTCTACACATACCTTCACTCCGCTGCATCTTCCAACAAGATCCTCTGTGTGTTCAGATCTTTGTATGCAACACCATGGTCGTTCATGAACTTCATCCCTTCTGCCACATCTGTACTGGTTTCTTCTGGCTTTCTCCAGCCTTCACCACCACACCTGATCTCAAAGCAACACTGACACCAGAAGATTCACCTTTTCTAACCCATACCAAGTTTGAATCTCTTGGCTTCTGCAGTTTCTGGCTATGGAACTTTCCAGAAACCTTATCGCACTTCCCAAACGATCTTCCACGGCCTCCTTTCCCACCACTTAGTGAAAGATCCTCCAATTTCCGTCCGATTTCCACTGATCGATCAACCGGGACTTTCTTCTCCCCATCCATAACATTCACCAGCAAATTGTTGGCATTTCGCTTGATTTCACTGGTTTTCTCTTCTTCTTCGACCCACCTTCCATGCTCGTCGAACTCTCCAAATCTCAAGACATCGTGGCCGGCGATGGCACCACCACCACCGTCGTCGTGCTCGCCGGAGCTGAGGAGCACTCAAGGGCTTTTGCTGCACATTCTCATTTGCTTTCTATTTGGATGACACCTGCTGCAGGGAGCGCTCGAACATTGTTCTCGTCCACTACCGCGAAGTAAAGGTTACGAATTTATTCTATTCTTTCTTTGTTTCTTCATTGAAGAGATTCACAATTGATAATTTGTATATTGTATCAGATGATTCTTGAGCCAATATATATTATACATTATGCTGGCTATTTTAGAATAACATCACTTTCTAGCTTTCCCATCTCTTTTGTTTCAAGGTTTCTTGTGCATGTATAACTTCCATGTATTGGAATATTGCTACAAAATATAATCTAATGTGTTTTGTTGCCCAACTTTTCACATCAGTGCTAGTTTCTTTTTGGACTAATGGTCATTACAATGTTCGTGTTACTTGTAAGATTCCCGACTTGGTAGCACTTCTATGATTTGGAAAGCTCCTCCATGGGTTTTAGTACTTCATGTTTCAGATATAATGGGTATGTTTGGTTTGAGTTTGAGAGATGAGTTTTAGAGATAAAAAGTACGAAAAGTTGTTTGGTTTGGTTTTTTTCAAAAGATATTTTGGAAAATTATTTTGAGAGAGAGTTTTGGAAAAAGTGATTGATTTGATGTGTATGAGAGAGAGATTTATTTGGAAAACTTGTAAACCAAACAAGTTTTGGGAAATTTTTTCGAGAAAATTTGTTTGGTTTGATTACTTTTGAAAACTTATTTGTAGAGAATTTTTTCTGAAAATTTTTGGGAAACACAAACCAAACAAGGCCAATATTTTCTGTAGGCATTTTTCTTTTGGTTTCTTATTCTATTTTAATTTTCCAGTTTCTAATATCTTCATTGAAGTGACACACCTTCCTTTATAATCTGCTAATCGATCATTATTGATAGGCTATATCTTTGGGAACCACTACAGTATTCTGATTTATTAGCACCAAATCATGTAGAATTAGGCAATGTTTTGAAATTTCATCAGGACATATGTTTGGTCAATGGACTCAGTCGGTTCATACTGGGTTAACTGACAGCAAGAAATAGATCAATTATCAAGTAACTTGGGGAGGAGCCACTCTCTTTAAGGAACTACTTATGGTCTCTTCAAAACTGTCTTAAACATGAACTGTTGAATGCTCTCTGAACCAACTTAACAGTTGTCATGTATCCTGTACAATGCGATGTTTTGAAAATTGATTTAGGACATATGTTTGGTCAATGGACTCGGTTGGTTCATACTGGGTAAACCGACAGCAAGAAATGGATCAATTATCAGTTAACTTGGGCAGGAGCAACTCTTTTAAGAAACTAATACGTTTTCTTTAGAACTGTCTTTAACATGAACTGTTGAAGTAAAACAAAGCTTTAAGAAAGATTCAATAATAATTTCATGAATTCATTGGTTTAATTTTTCATTCTTGCATTTAATCTCCAAGATCCAAACCAGCTAAGAAAAACTTGTGTGGAGCTGAATGGGGATATTAAACACCAGGTTCCATACTCTCTCTCCCGGCGTCTCTTTATTAACTACTGTTTTTTCTCCTGTTGCCTATCTGTTGCCCACCTGGGGAGGGGCTGGGGGTTAGGGTACAGTGAAACAAGGGGTTCTTAAAACCTCAAGCCAATAGAGAGCAGGACAAAAACCTCCTGGACAGAGACACCAAACCAGCCAATATGGTCATGGTCAGCATACGCAGCCTTTTGCTAACCCCAGGAAAATGAGCCAAGACAAATATCTGATCGAAGAGTGTGAACCACATGCAAGTTGTGGATGCGGACCAAATAGAATGGTAAACCCGTAGTGAAGCGGTTAATATACATTTTAATAAGTAAGACAATTTTAATAAAAGAAACATCAAAAGCAGATTGTGCCCAAATTAAAAAAAGGTTAAACTGTGACAACCTTGGCTACACTGACAAAAGATGCCTAGACTCTCAAAAGACTAAAGGTCTATAGATTCTTATAAGTGAAAAGAATCCACAAAATGTACAAACGGTCGAGGTTTGGGAGATCCTTCCCCGACATCCACCCAGACAAAATAGACTATACAAACTCTTAAAAGCCTATGCAAAGGCTCCTCTACAGCTCAAAAAGTCCTCTTGTTTCGTTCCCTCACCAAAGCCACATTAAACACAAAGCAGCTAGCCACCATGCCACACCATCTGCCTTTTGGCGTCGTTTCCCTTCCCTACCTTCCCACCACCTCAGCATTACCCCTACCACATCCCTATGAAACATCCACTCCATCCCGAACACTGCTAAAATCAACCCCCACAATTCCTTTGGCCATATTGTACTGAATTAGCAAATGAAAAACTTATTCACTATCACACTTAGAGAGGACTTGTCGCCCCCTAATTAAGTTATCATTTGTAATTCTCATGGGCTGTATTCGACATATAAAAGCAACCTTCGATGGAGCCCCAAAGGTCCAAATGCCTTCGAAAGGGAAGGAGAAGGAAAAGGACACTTTGTGGTAGGGTCAAGAGTACACTTTCTTGGTATTGTGTATATGACCAGGTTTTCGCAACAAGTTTCAGTTTCGAGTTTTGTAATATCAACAAGAAGTAGAGATCATGCGAATAATCTTTGATCCAGTATGATGTAGTGTTATACTCTTTATTTCTTCGTTCAATTGTGGAATCCTTACGTTATTTGATGAGAGCCTACTGCGTAAACTATTGTTTGCTACCCTTCCTTATAAAAGACCCATAGTACATAGGCTTGGGTATGGGTGTCAAGTACGGATATGTTTCCAGGTATCAGATTCATCTAATTTTCTTGTCTACGGACACCAATATATAACTAAATTTCTTATTTCTTATGTACTTAGTTTTATTTTTAAGAATAAAATGGTGTTTACAAACTAACAAGAGTATTTTGTAGACAAAATGGGAGTTCTATGCAAAGTAATGATGCAAACTAGACTATTAAGGCATACTTAATGGGTGCATCTCTAACTAGACATGCCGTTCACATATTTGATATCCTTACTTATGCGTCGAGTGTCTGACACAGGTATTTCTCAAATTTAGAAGTCCATGTAACATAGTAAACGGCCATACAATCCATTAACTTGCAGAATATCATGCATTTGAACCAAACCACTTTTTTTTTTTTTTCTTGTTTCTTTTTCTCGGTTGAACCTTCCACTGCTTTTTCTTGTACCCTTGATTTGGATTTCGTAATTATTTTTTGGTGTAATTTGACTTGCCCTTAACTTTGTCTCGGTTGATGCTAGCCTTAGTATCTCACCAATGGATTTATTTCTTATATTATGTTTTCAGTTAGGTAAATGATCAATCCAAGTTCTTAAAATGTCTTATTGCGATGACATCACAACATCAATTGTTTAATTGTGTCTATGGCGTTAGTTGCAATGATTGATTTGTTTTGTTGGTAAGAACATGATATAATAAAAAGTTTTGGTAAGAAGGACAAATTATTAATTTGAAGATTTTTTATTTCCATTTTCACCCTTGCGTTGTTACATCCTTATACACAACCACCATTGGACTGTCACCGAAAAATTCGTTAGCGTTGGAAAAGTCGCCGGTGATGGCTAAAAAAGTTGCTAATGGTGGTGGTGATGATTTAGATAGATAAGCAGATTAGGTGGGCACATAGGTGGATACATGAGTGACACGTGGACAGATAGATGAATAAATGGGTGACACATGGACAGATAAATGACATTTGGATAGATAGGTGACCTATGGACAAATAGATGACAATTGAGCAAATAGGGGTAATCTGGTCTCTCACATTGTTGTTGTAATATGGTCTTTCACATTGTTGTTGTCCTTATGGCCACATAAGTTTTAACCTTAGGCTCAACATATCTAGAAATGGTCCTCTGGGCTGAGTCCCCTTGTTTTATTCTAGTAGCACAAAACCAAAATAACCAAACCAAACCAAACCAAAAATTTGTTTCCCAACCAATTGGAGTCGGTTACATGAATAATTTTCTGCCATTCCGCTTTATCAAGGGCTATATACTCAGTTCAATTTAATAAATTCATATCTCTTACTACAACATCTCATATTAGTTTAGGTCTCCCCTTCCCTCTAGTATTTATATTCATAGTGATTATCTTATTTTTCCTTACCGTTATATCTACTAGTACTCATTGTAAATGACCAATGCATCGTAGTCTGTTCTTTCTTGTGGTACTCCAACCATTTCACAAATGTATTCGTTTTTAATGCTTTCTTTCTCGATCTTACCAATTGCCAACTATTCATCTTAGCATGCTCATAGTAGCTACACTCATTTGATTAATGTGTTGTTTCTTAATTTTCCAACATTACAAAAAGTATTCTTGACCTTATAGATGTTCTATAAAATTTTCCTTTCTAGGCTGAGGTCTGGCGGGCGGCCAAGGCGAGGTTGCCGCCCGCCGGTGAAGCGAAATTACTTAGATTCTTAACCTTGCTCTGATACCATGTAGAAATTTAATATATAAAGAAATAGAATAATGTATATATTGATGTTATTGATGCTATTACAAATGGTTCCTTATATAGATGTAGGTGTAGTGGATGGTGGTGGTAGGTGAGTGTAGTAGGTGAGTGTGTGGTAGGTGATGGTAAGTGTGTGGTAGGTGATGGTAAATTTTAACATTATTAAAGGTACATTATTAAAGCATACTAATTATTATACTAACTTAATTATTAAAGCAACATTTTACATATTATATTCTAACAATTTTGTCAAATCTTTGCACTTTGCTCTCTCTCTCTCTCTATATATATATATATATATACACATATATAAATCTGTCTGTATTACGGACCACCTCTGGGCAATTGCTTTTAATACAAAGTTTATCTGTTAATTAGTATTAGTGTATAAAGGTTGATTGAATGTAAATGCCTACTTGCAGCTTCTTGTACATGCACAGACATAAGTACAGTCTTCTGATACTATTTAGCATTGAATAAACATCAATTGCTGAGTAGAATCTGGTTCGTTAGTTTTATCTGCTTCTGGAACAGTTTTGCTGCTTTGGAAGTCCCATTACCTTTGTCTGTGAGGGAAAAAAGATGAAATATGGTCTAAAGTTTCTCCCGTTTTCTCTGTCATACTAATCATTTTAATTTTTGGAATTACAGCCATGTCTATAGCTGTAGACTCATGTTAACTTGTATGAACATCCATGAAATTGACGACACCTTGAAAATTGAATCAATTTATGGAAGTTAATGAAAATCTGACCATTTTTGTATTCTTAGTTGTTATTTTGGAAGGGCTGTTGCTGCACATTCTCATTTGCTTTCTATTTGGATGACACCTGCTGCAGGGAGCGCTCGAACATTGTTCTCGTCCACTACCGCGAAGTAAAGGTTACGAATTTATTCTATTCTTTCTTTGTTTCTTCATTGAAGAGATTCACAATTGATAATTTGTATATTGTATCAGATGATTCTTGAGCCAATATATATTATACATTATGCTGGCTATTTTAGAATAACATCGCTTTCTAGCTTTCCCATCTCTTTTGTTTCAAGGTTTCTTGTGCATGTATAACTTCCATGTATTGGAATCTTGCTACAAAATATAATCTAATGTGTTTTGTTGCCCAACTTTTCACATCAGTGCTAGTTCTAATGGTCATTACAATGTTCATGTTACTTGTAAGATTCCCGACTTGGTAGCACTTCTATGATTTGGAAAGCTCCTCCATGGGTTTTAGTACTTCATGTTTCAGATATAATATTTTCTGTGGGCATTTTTCTTTTGGTTTCTTATTCTATTTTAATTTTCCAGTTTCTAATATCTTCATTTAAGTGACACACCTTCCTTTATAATCTGCTAATCGGTCATTATTGACAGGCTATATCTTTGGGAACCACTACAGTATTCTGATTTATTAGCACCAAATCATGTAGAATTAGGCAATGTTTTGAAATTCCATCAGGACATATGTTTGGTCAATGGACTCGGTCGGTTCATACTGGGTTAACTGACAGCAAGAAATAGATCAATTATCAAGTAACTTGGGGAGGAGCCACTCTCTTTAAGGAACTACTAATGGTCTCTTCAAAACTGTCTTAAACATGAACTGTTGAATGCTCTCTGAACCAACTTAACAGTTGTCATGTATCCTGTACAATGCGATGTTTTGAAAATTGATTTAGGACATATGTTTGGTCAATGGACTCAGTTGGTTCATACTGGGTAAACCGACAGCAAGAAATGGATCAATTATCAGTTAACTTGGGCAGGAGCAACTCTTTTAAGAAACTAATACGTTTTCTTTAGAACTGTCTTTAACATGAACTGTTGAAGTAAAACAAAGCTTTAAGAAAGATTCAATAATAATTTCATGAATTCATTGGTTTAATTTTTCATTCTTGCATTTAATCTCCAAGATCCAAACCAGCTAAGAAAAACTTGTGTGGAGCTGAATGGGGATATTAAACACCGGGTTCCATACTCTCTCTCCCAGCGTCTCTTTATTAACTACTGTTTTTTCTCCTGTTGCCTATCTGTTGCCCACCTGGGGAGGGGCTGGGGGTTAGGGTACAGTGAAACAAGGGGTTCTTAAAACCTCAAGCCAATAGAGAGCAGGACAAAAACCTCCTGGACAGAGACACCAAACCAGCCAATATGGTCATGGTCAGCATACGCAGCCTTTTGCTAACCCCAGGAAAATGAGCCAAGACAAATATCTGATCGAAGAGTGTGAACCACATGCAAGTTGTGGATGCGGACCAAATAGAATGGTAAACCCATAGTGAAGCGGTTAATATACATTTTAATAAGTAAGACAATTTTAATAAAAGAAACATCAAAAGCAGATTGTGCCCAAATTAAAAAAAGGTTAAACTGTGACAACCTTGGCTACACTGACAAAAGATGCCTAGACTCTCAAAAGACTAAAGGTCTATAGATTCTTATAAGTGAAAAGAATCCACAAAGGGCATGTTTGATTGGGTGGATTAAAGTATGGGATTGGGATTATTAATCCGTGGGTCCAATTATCCTATGTTTGTTTTAACATTTTGGTTTAGGATTATTAATCTTATGGATAATTAATCCAACAAATTTGTAGGATTATTAGTAATGGGGTAGGGGTGGGATTATTAATCCAATGGATATTAATCCAATTGGATAGTGAATACCACACTAATTTAATAGGATTATTAATACTTCACTATTAATCTTGTGAATCAAACATGTTACATGACCAAAATGTACAAACGGTGAGGTTTGGGAGATCCTTCCCCGACATCCATCCAGACAAAATAGACTATACAAACTCTTAAAAGCCTATGCAAAGGCTCCTCTACAGCTCAAAAAGTCCTCTTGTTTCGTTCCCTCACCAAAGCCACATTAAACACAAAGCAGCTAGCCACCATGCCACACCATCTGCCTTTTGGCGTCGTTTCCCTTCCCTACCTTCCCACCACCTCAGCATTACCCCTACCACATCCCTATGAAACATCCACTCCATCCCGAACACTGCTAAAATCAACCCCCACAATTCCTTTGGCCATATTGTACTGAATTAGCAAATGAAAAACTTATTCACTATCACACTTAGAGAGGACTTGTCGCCCCCTAATTAAGTTATCATTTGTAATTCTCATGGGCTGTATTCGACATATAAAAGCAACCTTCGATGGAGCCCCAAAGGTCCAAATGCCTTCGAAAGGGAAGGAGAAGGAAAAGGATACTTTGTGGTAGGGTCAAGAGTACACTTTCTTGGTATTGTGTATATGACAAGGTTTTCGCAACAAGTTTCAGTTTCGAGTTTTGTAATATCAACAAGAAGTAGAGATCATGCGAATAATCTTTGATCCAATATGATGTAGTGTTATACTCTTTATTTCTTCGTTCAATTGTGGAATCCTTACGTTATTTGATGAGAGCCTACTGCGTAAGCTATTGTTTGCTACCCTTCCTTATAAAAGACCCATATTACATAGGCTTGGGTATGGGTGTCAAGTACGGATATGTTTCCAAGTATCAGATTCATCTAATTTTCTTGTCTACGGACACCAATATATAACTAAATTTCTTATTTCTTACGTACTTAGTTTTATTTTTAAGAATAAAATGGTGTTTACAAACTAACAAGAGTATTTTGTAGACAAAATGGGAGTTCTATGCAAAGTAATGATGCAAACTAGACTATTAAGGCATACTTAATGGGTGCATCTCTAACTAGACATGCCGATCACATATTTGATATCCTTACTTATGCGTCGAGTGTCTGACACAGGTATTTCTCAAATTTGGAAGTCCATGTAACATAGTAAACGGCCATACAATCCATTAACTTGCAGAATATCATGTATTTGAACCAAACCACTTTTTTTTTTTTGTTGCTTGTTTCTTTTTCTCGGTTGAACCTTCCACTGCTTTTTCTTGTACCCTTGATTTGGATTTCGTAATTATTTTTTGGTGTAATTTGACTTGCCCTTAACTTTGTCTCGGTTGATGCTAGCCTTAGTATCTCACCAATGGATTTATTTCTTATATTATGTTTTCAGTTAGGTAAATGATCAATCCAAGTTCTTAAAATGTCTTATTGCGATGACATCACAACATCAATTGTTTAATTGTGTCTATGGCGTTAGTTGCAATGATTGATTTGTTTTGTTGGTAAGAACATGATATAATAAAAAGTTTTGGTAAGAAGGACAAATTATTAATTTGAAGATTTTTTATTTCCATTTTCACCCTTGCGTTGTTACATCCTTATACACAACCACCATTGGACTGTCACCGAAAAATTCGTTAGCGTTGGAAAAGTCGCCGGTGATGGCTAAAAAAGTTGCTAATGGTGGTGGTGATGATTTAGATAGATAAGCAGATTAGGTGGGCACATAGGTGGATACATGAGTGACACGTGGACAGATAGATGAATAAATGGGTGACACATGGACAGATAAATGACATTTGGATAGATAGGTGACCTATGGACAAATAGATGACAATTGAGCAAATAGGGGTAATCTGGTCTCTCACATTGTTGTTGTAATATGGTCTTTCACATTGTTGTTGTCCTTATGGCCCCATAAGTTTTAACCTTAGGCTCAACATATCTAGAAATGGTCCTCTGGGCTGAGTCCCCTTGTTTTATTCTAGTAGCACAAAACCAAAATAACCAAACCAAACCAAAAATTTGTTTCCCAACCAATTGGAGTCGGTTACATGAATAATTTTCTGCCATTCCGCTTTATCAAGGGCTATATACTCAGTTCAATTTAATAAATTCATATCTCTTACTACAACATCTCATATTAGTTTAGGTCTCCCCTTCCCTCTAGTATTTATATTCATAGTGATTATCTTATTTTTCCTTACCGTTATATCTACTAGTACTCATTGTAAATGACCAATGCATCGTAGTCTGTTCTTTCTTGTGGTACTCCAACCATTTCACAAATGTATTCGTTTTTAATGCTTTCTTTCTCGATCTTACCAATTGCCAACTATTCATCTTAGCATGCTCATAGTAGCTACACTCATTTGATTAATGTGTTGTTTCTTAATTTTCCAACATTACAAAAAGTATTCTTGACCTTATAGATGTTCTATAAAATTTTCCTTTCAATTTTGTTAGAATTGTTCAATTGCATGTGTCATCAAATGCCCTTACTTTATTTTTGTCTATTGAGCTTTGTATTGGTATTTTGCGAGTCTTACCTTTTGTTAAGATTTCACAACACCTTCAATTAAATTCTTGTTTTGGAATTTAGAGTGGTTGAATACGATCAAGATGGAAGCATACCCCCATTATCTTGTGCTTTCTACTTGGAGTTCAAGTTTATTTAACTTAAATTAGTCCGAACTTGGATTGGGTCCTGTTTCTCAATGGCTAAAACCAATGGGTCTCACTTTTTGATCTAGAACCTAATATGACTGTTGCAAACTTCCTATCTCAATGAGTTGTTTGAACAAAGTGTCATGAAAAAGTGGATTTTTGGATTGTTTTCAACAACACCTGAATCAATCCTTGATAAGATTCAAAGCTTACAAGGTTGTAAAATTGAGTTTTATTTTCTAGGTCAGATCCACTTCATTACAGCCTTGTGTTGCATACCTCATGACAGCAATTATAATATTTTTTTTTCCCTTTAAATTTCTTGAGTGTGACTTGACATGGATTATTTCTAGCATTGCCTGTTGAGCCATAGGGTATCAGTGTATCACTTGACATATCAGATCTCCATCACCTATGAATGTCATTGCTTATCATATCTCTTGAATCTGTATTTTATTCCTAAATATTTGTAAACATTAGAAATAGTATTTTGCTTTAAAATGTTCACACGTCATTCTTTTCTCATTAGGGAAATAGGGCAAACTTTAGCCGCATTAAAGAGGCTGAAGAAACTATTCACAATTCCCAAGAAAGTGAAGAAATTGTACCCAATTCTGAGGTGGATAGTTCTGTATCCTCAACATTTAACCCATACAACTACCAAGTAACTTCACATGCTACAGATACCGCAAGCTTGAACAGCGCTCAGGCATCAGAATATGAAGATGCTGAGTCAGGTGCGTTTATGGTGTATTTGTCAATTCTCAGTTCTAATTCCTGAGAAAATGGTTAACATTATGTCATATTGAGAGGATAAGTGGATATTAAGTTGTTGATTGATGATAATTCTTCTTCATGATAAATAAATTTGGTGTAGGATATAATCACCAAGCAAGCTCAGGATTCCACTCTTTTCTTGAGTTACAACCACGTGTTGTGGAGAAAATGGAGGATGGACTCTCCGTGCCTTATTATCCAGTGCCTTTCTCAAGTATTATGTCTTCTGCCGTTGTTTTATTTTATGTCGTTTAATTTTTATCACTTCTGCAGTGTTTTTTGATGGTTGAATGCATGATGAGAGGTATCAAAAGATTGTAATACTTACAAGCTTTTTTACAGATGATTACGAAGGAAAGTTGTCTGCTATTCCTGGGATGGATTTTGTTCCACTTGTTCAGGGAGATAAGGGTAAAAACAGTGTTAATGCTGATTTAACATTTGAGCCTCAGAAACAGCTGGACTTCTCATCATGGAAGGACGTAGTGGGAAACAGTGGCACTGGAATTCAATCTGATACCATGAGTTTTAATCCTGGACAAGGAAATGAGCTACTGGAGCAAATTTTGACCAATGACTTTGGTAAAAGTGAAGATGCTGGGATTTATCCACCTCGCCAAGACAAATGGCAGGTATGCAATGACTCAAAATATTTTGCCTTGCCTTGTTTGCCATAAAGTTGTAATATTTGCTTATATGGAAATACATGCTTATTACATAGTAAAAATTTGATAGATGCTGATTATTGCTATCTTAATGGGAGTAGTAAAAATTTGATAGATGCTGATTATTTCTATCTTAATGGGAGTTGTTTCAATTTGTTTTCATCTTTTCTACCTTATAGAATGAAAGTAAGAAAGGATGCATGTGCTTTTTTATATTTATGGTAGTGCCCTCGGTGTCTGTCCTTGACATATTAGCAGATGTGTCACTGGGGTTTCAAAATTATGCAATTTAAGTAAAACATTTTGCACAGGACAAGATGCAACATGGATATAGATGTTTGATTTTGTGGCTCTATTGTGATAGTGAAATTATTGATTTTTAATAAACCCGGAATTTACATGCTATAATACTAGAAGAAGTCCCACCGGAGCCAACCCGAATTTTTTCAGAAACACCCACACAGCATGATATTAGCCAGTGTTGGTACCTGTAATTTTAATGCTTCTCAACCAAGTTGCAGGTGCACTATGTTAGCTTTTATGAAAGTTGCATACGCAAACCTCATAAGTTTAGCCGTCTGTTGATTGAAGCATATCCACCACATCCAATTGTAAAAACTAGTATTTGCCTATCCGAAATATTATGTTCAGGCTTTGACTTACCTTGCAATCAGACTTCTGAAGGTGATTCTTCACACATATCCAAGTGGTCCATGGATCAGAAGTTTTATCCGGAGTCAGAGTATTATCCCACCACTGAGCTTTACAGAGGAGTCAACGCTGTGGATTTACTCAACTCTGCAGGGCCCTTCCATGCACATTCTGCTGAACAAAATGAGCATCATACACAAAGTGACCTTCAGATACAAAGCAGAAGTGCTCTGAAACCAGCATCAGAGAACAATCCGATAATAGAGGGAAAAGCTGAATCTTATCCTTTGAAACAACCCCTATTAGATAGCTTTCTTAGAGAAGGTCTGAAGAAGCTTGATAGCTTTGACAGATGGATGAGTAAGGAATTGGGAGATGTAAATGAATCACATACGCAGTCCAACTCTGGGACCTACTGGGAGACTGTTGAAACTGAGGATGGAGTAGATGATTCCAGCATTGCTCCCCAAGCGCACTTAGAAACCTATATGCTGGGTCCCTCGCTGTCTCAGGACCAGCTCTTTAGCATTATTGATTTCTCACCAAACTGGGCATATGCAGGCTCTGAGATAAAGGTATACTACAATATTTTGTTTTTTCGGCCATGATTTCAACTAAGCTATTGGCTGTCTCAGCTATTTACCATCACTGGGATGAATGACCTCAGGAATTATTTGTCACTGAGTGATGAAATTGTTTTATTTTCTTTGATAACCAGGTCTTGATTACGGGAAAATTCTTGATGAATCAACAAGATGTGGATAAGTGTAAGTGGTCATGTATGTTTGGAGAAGTAGAAGTTCCTGCCGAGGCTATAGCAGATGGTGTACTTCGTTGCCATACTCCGTTACACAAGGATGGCAGGGTTCCCTTTTATGTAACATGTTCCAATAGGTTGGCATGTAGTGAAGTGCGAGAATTTGAGTACAGAATTGAGAACCTTCAAGATGTGGATATTCCAGATATCTATAGTGGCAGCACCAATGAAATTCTACTTCGTATGAGATTTGGGAAAATGTTGTCTCTGGAATCTGGCAGTCCCCCAAGTTCTGTTTCCAGTACCCTAGGTGAGAATTCCCACCTGAGCAATAAAATCAGTTCACTACTAAGAGAGGACAACAATGAGTGGGAGCAAATGTTAATGCTTACTTCAGAAGATGAATTCTCCCCAGAAGAAGTGAAGGAGCAGCTTCTTCAAAAGCTACTGAAAGAAAAGCTGCACTTATGGCTCCTTCAAAAGGTTGCTGAAGGTGGAAAAGGCCCAAGTGTATTGGATGAGGGTGGCCAAGGTGTGTTGCATTTCGCAGCAGCACTTGGTTATGATTGGGCTATACCACCCACACTAGCTGCAGGTGTAAGTGTCAACTTCCGTGATGTTAACGGGTGGACAGCACTCCATTGGGCAGCATATTGTGGCAGGTTAGACCTTTAATTTTTTTGTTATTTGCTTTTCTTCTCATAGATGGCTTACCTATAAATACATTTCTTACTGTTGCATGTCTTGTCTTCCTTTCCATGGACAAGGCAACATATATAAAAAGGTAAATTGTACTTTTCACTTCTATAGTTTGACCTTAATTTCAATTTGGTCCCTATTGTTTCAATTTGAACAATTTAGTCCATTCACTTGAAAGTTTCAATTTGGTCTTTCCATCCAAATTTTCGTTAAATTTTTCTACGTGTACACCTTAGGAGACTAACAAGTATCTCAAAATCGTTAATTTTAACCTCCAACTTGAATGGAAGAAAGAATCAAATTGAAATTGAACTTAAAAGTGTAGGGACCAAATTATTCATTTGAAACAATAGGGACTAAAGTGAAATTTGGGTCAAACAATAAGGGTTAAAACTGTAATTTACCCTGCATAAAATATGGGGTTTCAGGAATTTTATTGTATAGCTTTCTTGACATTCAACTTTCATTTAATTCAGACGAGCAGTACTCTTCATTTTTTGTTATTTTTTGGGTAGTTATGTTGCTCTAATTTTGTTGATATTAGAGAGCGGACAGTGGTTGTCCTCCTCTCCCTAGATGCAGCTCCTGGAGCATTGACAGATCCTTCTCCCATATATCCTGGTGGTCAAACACCTGCAGATCTAGCTTCCAGCAAAGGTCACAAAGGGATTGCTGGTTATCTTGCAGAATCTGCCTTGAGCTCTCACCTGCAATCACTTCAGTTGAAGGATACTAAGGACGGTGATGAAGGAAAAATTCCTGGGGTAAAAGATGTACAAACAGTTTCAAAGCAGGCTGCTACTCCAATCGACGATGGGGACTTTCCACATGGACTGTCTCTGAAGGATTCATTAGCTGCTGTCTATAATGCTACTCAAGCTGCTGCTCGCATTCATCAAGTCTACAGGGTGCAGTCATTCCAAAGAAAGCAGCTCAAAGAGTATGGTAATGATAAATTTGGAATGTCAGATGAGCGTGCCCTTTCACTTGTTGTTGTCAAGAGTAGGCTGGGACGGCATAATGAGCCAGTACATGCTGCTGCAATACGAATACAAAATAAATTCCGTAGTTGGAAGGGCAGAAGAGAGTTTTTAACAATCCGGCAGCAAATTGTGAAAATTCAGGTGATGATATAATTGTTGTCCTGCTTACGAAGTTCTGGTTCTTTTTGTTGTATGTGTTTATTCTTCTTGAATATTGTCATACAAATCTTCGTCAATTCTAGTTCGGTTCTTGAATTCTAATTTTCTGCTTCTCTAATGGATAGGCCCATGTGAGAGGACACCAGGTGAGGAAGAATTATAGGAGCATAATCTGGTCCGTTGGAATATTAGAGAAGGTAATTTTGCGGTGGAGACGGAAAGGGAGTGGCTTGCGTGGATTCAGACAAGAAGCACTTACTCAGGGCTCTAGCAAGCAAGATACACCCTCCAATGAGGATGATTATGATTTCCTGAAAGAAGGCCGAAAGCAAACAGAAGAACGGTTTGAAAAGGCCCTTGCTAGGGTGAAGTCCATGGTTCAGTATCCGGAAGCAAGAGATCAATACCGTAGGTTGCTGAATGTTGTCACGGAGATGCAGGAAACTAAGGTATTTCTACTTCGAAACATTTGAAATGCCACTTAACTGTAATTGTTGGAGAGCTTGATATACATTGCTGGGTCCTTTTCCTAACATCTTAAGAGTTTGGGACAATCGGTAACTTAACATGATATCAGAGCTCAAGTTGAGAGAGGTCTTAGGTTCAAGTCTCTTCATTTGCATTTGATCCCTAGTTGCATTCTTTCTTCTCTTGTTTGCATTCTGTCTTCTATGCATGGATGTTTGCATCTCCAGGTGCAAGATGGGTTGCACGTGAGGGAGGGTGTTGGAGAGTTGGATATATATTATTGGGTCCATTTGCAAACAGTTTAAGCTTTTTGGGACAATTGATGACTTTACAATAATCACTTTGGTATTTTCCTGGGAAAATGAATATTCAATATAGAAAGAGTTGTAGAGTATAGGACTTCATTTAATTCAATCTGGATGTGAAAGTTTAGCAATTTATGAAAAGCTAATGCAGAAAAAACTTGGTTTATTCTTGTGTTAGTATAAATTTTAGCTTGGTGCACACTGTTGGTCATGTGTCACTAGCATTTTCGTGTAATGTTGTTGCAGCAAAAGCTTGATTTATGCTTGCTTCTCCACCCTAGTTTGAACCCATATGACAGTCATAAGCGCTGGCCAACTGGGACAATCCAGTTGGTTTAGTTGCAGTTGTTACTAGTCATTTTACATGGACTCTTCAAAATAAATCAAATACTCGTGTTGAACACCAGACACTTAGACAAGGGTGTCGGCTGTGTCCAATACTTTCCATTGGACATTTCTTATAGATTTGTATTTAACACTCATTATATGTATAAATAGTAATATAATTGCTATAAACTGAGTAAAATGCCGCTTTGACACTATGTCATATATAACACCATTTTATCTTATATAATATATCAAAATATGAATTTTTTTTTTTTGGCCCAGTCTACATACCCTTAAATCTGAGATTTGATGAGTCCACCCTCTAGATACGCACCTTCACCCCACACCTATACCTAGGTGCATGTAATATAGGTTACTGTGTTAGCTGGGTTGATATATATTATTGGATCAATTTTCTAATAGCTTAGGCTTTTGAGAAAATTAGTAACTTATGGTATTAGAGCTCAGGTTGAGAGAAGCCTTGGGTTTAAGTCTCTCCGTTGGCATTTTGTATTCTTTCCCTGTTTGATTTCTTCTTCTCTGTTTGGTTGTTTGCTTATCCGTCTGTTTGGTTCTCTGTCTCTTCATGTGCAAGACGGGGTTGCACATGAGAGAGGGTGTTAGATAATTTGATATATATTGTTCGGCCGATTTAAGTCAACAACTAGAACAAGAAAGCACACTTTATTTAAAGTAGTCATGACACCTCTAGTTCACAATCTAAGTCAGTTTGGTTCATGTACACAGCATGGGAAGGACAGTACCAATAGCTAACTAGCATTGCCAAGAATAAATACTTAAAATCACCATAATGCCATATACTTTTGTGAAAAAAGCTCATGCCTGGGACTGGAGATGGCGCAATTCAGGGGAATGTGTCACCTATATGTTTTGCTCAAGTTGTGTAATTTGGTTGAATTTTACATTATTATGTCACAAAGGAGAATGCCCTTTACTTGATCATATTGTCAATGACCATAATCTTAATTTTCTTAAGTGGGGAAACGAGATTGCTCATTATTCAGTAATAGAATTGCAGTCGAGGCCATGCAATTTTTCCTCACTAGATTCCTTAGACAACATTGCGTTCGTGTTTGTTTGCGTATGGTGAGGTTATTTTCGAATTCAAACAAGATTGTCTTTCATTGGAAATTAATGTTTTTCCTTTTTGATCCATCTTGCAGGCTGTGTATGATAAGGTTCTAAACAGTACAGAAGATACGGCTGATTTTGATGATGATCTGATTGATTTTCAAGCACTGTTGGATGACGATTCCTTCATGTCCACAGAATATTGACCCCGATCTCTGTTTCTATACCTTCTGTAAAATTTGGTTTGCCATCTGCCTTTATTTGATTCGTAGAATTGTAACAATAGGTTGCACTGATATTCATTTGTAAATGTTATATATGCCCGAACCATTGACCACCCTTGTCCAGACTGGGTTAGGAGTTGTAGCAGACACAAACAAGCAGGCTGTGCTAGTGTGAGTTTGTGCCCATAAATTAATCCGTGCATTTGTGAGAATATGTATGTAGTTGTGCACTGTATGATAGGTATTCACAATGCAAGTTGACAGTTGATGAAAACATAGGTTTGATTGTGTTAATGAGATTTGGTAGTTTATTTTTTCTTCGTCATAGACGATGAGAGCCATGTTTATATGCTATATGCCTATTGTGTCCTCGTGCAATAGCTTCTTTTCAAACCTCTGTTGTATAGTTGTCTCCATCGCTAAAGCACACACCGTGTTTGAAAACTTAGAATCATTCCAACTGTGAAACCTTTGAAGGTATTTCCAACCTCTGTTTGGTGACTAGATTGTAGATGATGTAAACTTTCTTGTAGGCATTGGTCTTGTTTATTAGTTGACCCCATTTCTTGTACACACCAAGTCTGAAAGACAATATTATATGTTTCTCTTCTTGTCCACATTGGAGCTCTCAGCTAGTGAAATTCGAACTTGGTTATCACGCTGTATAACAAAATACCTCATCCTCCTAAGAGTCAGCTAGTGAAATTCGAACTTGGTTATCACGCTGTATAACAAAATACCTCATCCTCCTAAGAGATCGTCTCTTTGGATCATGAATTTTAATAAGAATTTGGAAAAGAAAAATAAAAAGATAAGTAAAATATAAATGAAATATAATTATATATATATATATATATTTTTTTTTAAAATTCTTATTTAAATTCATGATTCAAATACAACTTAAAAGTCTTGATAAATGTTTATGGGACAAACCAAGCAAAGCAGTTATAATTGCATACAATCCTTGAAAGACAAAAGAAGAAAAAAAAGAAGGTAATTTCTTACCGTCATATTTGAACATTCTATGCTTTGTATTGCATGTCAAAGAAAATCTATGCCAAAAAAAAATTAAAATTTGTATGAGCATATGGAATATGACATCCTATGAGCTGAAATCAAACCAAAACGTAAACATTCTATGATTTATATTTCACAAGAGTACTAGAAAATTTTATATAATAAAACATTACGCACTAACTAATTAAAGGACGAAAAAATTTCATAAAATCTAGCATTATTCATTTTTGAGCAATGCAAATTGAAAATATTGTTGGAAAATGTGGGTTGACATTTCATTTCATGGTTAAAACAGGTGGGTTGACAGCAGCATAATCTAACAGCTCCGGATCTCTCTCGAACACAGCCATGTCTTCCTCCTTCAGGCACACCCAAGCTTCAATCCCACCACCATCAAAGCTATCCAACAACACCATCACGTTTTTAAACGGCATGTAAACAGTACACACCCACACCGGCTTTCCCCACCCAAAATCAGCCTCGTGTACTGGAAATCTACACCAGCTAGTCACTGCGTACATCTCCTCATCTCCTCTCTGGAAAATCTTCATCCTCTCCAGTATAGCCGTCGATGAGCAACCACCCTCTTTCTCTTGCAGCTTCTTCACGTAACCCTCGTTGAACTCTATCAAACCCTTCTTCAGCTCCTCCACCGCTTTACCCATATCGATCTCGTCATCCGATGTTGTCACCGGATAGTATCCGACCATGTTTCCCATCGAGTTTCCCGGCAACGGAGGGTTGAATCTCGTCCTCAAATTCACGCTCTGGAGCAAGACCGTTGGCTTTGTTTGGGAATTGGATCGAGAAGCCTTGGTGGCGCATTTCCATATCAACGCCGACACCGCTTCGACTCGGGTCGGCTGCGGCGGTGCTTGGTGTTGGTGGATGGTTTTTCCGGCGACTTCGGATTTGAGATTTCCGATGCTGGAAGATGAAAATACGAACCGCTTTATGGAAGTCTTCTCCGACGAAGAGGTGGGTAAGTTCGCGTTGGCCAAGAAATCTTTTGGGGGGAAGAGAGTCGGCCCTGTCAGTAGCTCCGGGGGACTGACCGACTCGCCGCGTGCAGCGGAGGCCCAGGCGGTGATGAATGTGGCCATGGCGGCGGCGTCGGCCATTTTGTGATGAAACAAGAGCCCGATTGCTGCTCCGCCGCATTCGAAGAAGGTTGATTGAATGAGAAGCAGAGGACTACTCGAATCTCCGTCATTTGATTGGATATTATTCAGAGGAAGGAATTTCCTGAGAAATCTCTCTGAAGGTTGGTTCAGAATTTGTGATAAATGGCAACGAGCTCGAGCTTCGACGAAAATAGCTCCATCGTCGTTGCAATCGACTGAGAAGTTGGCTGTGATTCTTCCTGCAAATGGGTAGAAGAGAGATAAGATTTGAGAGAGAGAGGACTTTAGGAGCTTCGGTTTTGATTCGATCTCTGCGCATTCAGGAGATGAGGGGAGGTAGAAGTAGATTTGTTTTGAAAAAACACGGGCAACGAGCTGATCTAATAAGGAAATTTTGAAGGTTTTGAGATGATTGGGAGTGGGAGAGGATGGTTTGATAGCTTCTGTAGAAATGATCTCGACCTCCATCGCCATCGCTATCTGTATCTCTGAGCTCCTTTTGTTTCCCTCTGGCTGCCTTTTCTTCACTCACTCTTTCACCATTAATACTATTTTGTGTCTCCCACCCCACGCGTTTAGCGTGGTGCCACATTACCAAACACCTTCAAATTTGTATAACAGAAAGTTAAAAAGGTTGGGAACGAATAATATTAGGGGGCTTGTCTGCCAAAATACCAAGCTATTTCTAGTTTGGATAAAATTTTTAAAATAGACTAAAATATAATTATAAATCACGTTTTTACTATTTTTATGGTCTTTTCGTGAAAAATTTATAAAATCATAAAAGTGTGATTATAAATTACGCTTTTAATTAAGAAAGCGTGATTACAAATCACATTTTTAACAAAATTTTTTTTTCAAAAAACGTGAATAGGAATCGCACTTTTAATTAAAATGTAAAAACATATTTTGAAAACACGTTTTCAATGTTGCACTCACTCTTCATTTTCATTTTCACACTCACACACACACTCTCTCTCTCTCTCTCTTAGACACACACACACCCACACACACACACACAGAGTTTTGTCTCAAAATGAAGTCTAGAATTGTTGTTGAGCCACCATTAGCCTTATATGGGCTATGTAACAACCCTGACCTGGAATTAAGACCAATATTAAATATATATAATAATAATTTATAATAGCAAATAATAATCAATTATATAATTTTTGTAAATATAAATCATTTTTATATAATTTTTATTTTTCGAGTGATTAGAAATAATTTTTTACAAATTAAATTGAAACAACCATACGTATGTATATAACCTGTCCAAAATTTAAAATGATAATTATTTTTTATTTTTTATTTCTTAACCAAATTAATTTTTAATTTTTTTAAAAAAAATCTAAAAATCAAACTATACATAACCTAAAAATCTTTTGATAAGTCATTTTTTACGTTGGTAACTTATTTAATTATTTGTTAATTTTACAACATTTTTACCATCTGAGACATATTTGGTAACCATTTCGTTTTCAATTTTCAATTTATATTTACAAAAATTTTAAAAACTATCATAAAAACTTGTTTGATAATTTTTTTTGTTTATAAATGGTTGTCTCAATTTGTAAATTTGAGGAAAAAACGTAAATTCAAAAAATGAGTTTATATTGGTTTTTAAACAAAAATTTAAAAATTTTACTAATAATTTTTTTTTTCAATTAATTTTATTTGAAAAAAAAATTATTTACAAACTAATGTGAACTAATTTTTTGAATTTATTTGAAAAAAAAAATTAATTGAACAAAAATTTTGTTAGTAAATTTTTTTAATTTTTGTTTAAAAACTAACGTAAACTCATTTTTTAAATTTACGTTTTTTTCTCAAATTTACAAATTGCGACAATCATTTATAAACCAAAAAAATTATCAAACAAGTTTTCATGATAGTTTTTAAAATTTTTGTAAATATAAATTGAAAACTGAAAACGAAATGGTTATCAAACATGCCTCAGATGGTGAAAATGTCATAAAATTAACAAATAATTAAATAAGTTACCAACGTAAGAAATGACTTATCAAAAGATTTTTAGACTATGTATGGTTTGATTTTTAGAATTTTTTTTTTAAAAATTAAAAATTAATTTGGTTAAGAAATAAAAAATAAAAAAAAATTATCATTTAAGGTAAAAAAATAATTATCATTTTAACTTTTAGGCATGTTATATACATACGTATGGTTGTTTTAATTTAATTTGTAAAAAATTATTCTAACCACTCGAAAAATAATAATTATATAAAAATGATTTATATTTACAAAAATTATAAAAATTATATAGTTGATTATTATTTGTTATTATAAATTATTATTATATATATTTAATATTGGTCTCAAATTTATAAAATAAAATTTATATATATTAAAAAAATGTGAGTGTGTGAGTGTGGTGAGGTGTGTGTGTGCGCGTGAGAGAGAGAGAGAGAGAGAGTGAGAATGAAAATGAAGAGTGAGTGCAACAGTGAAAACGTGTTTTCAAAACACGTTTTTATATTTTAATTAAAAGCGCGGTTTCTAATTACGTTTTCTGAAGAAATTTTTTTTTGTTAAAAGCGTGGTTTGTAATCACGCTTTCTTAATTAAAAGCGTAGTTTGTAACCACACTTTTATGATTTTACAATTTTTTCACGGGAGGACCACAAAAATGGAAAAAGTGTGGTTTGTAACTACGTTTTAGCCTATTTTAGAAATTCAGTCCGAACTAAGGCCTCGTTTGGCAAGAGGCTATTTTAGCCAATTAGCCAAAAAGTTACTAAATTAGCTAAAAAGCCAACAACCCATACCAAAAAGTCAAAGATTCTCTTTTCTCTCTACTTTTTGCACATCTTTTCGTAATTAGCCAAAAAGTCATCCTAAATATACAAGTTTTTTTTACCTACCTTTTTAGCCAAATAGCCAAAAAGTTACTAAATTAACCTGTTCTCAAACGAGGCCTAAGTCTAGTTTGGGAAATAGTTTGGTATTTTGATTTATTTTGGGAAAAGCCTCTAATATTAGGGAGGAAAAAAATATCATCAAATGTTTATAAAGATTTTTCAACCTTTAATTAGTATATGGTGTTTTTTTATATGTGCAATCTAATGGTGGAGAATTTTTCATTATTATTTTTATGATATTTTTTTCATGATACCTAACATTACTCTTTTGAACCCCTCACTCCAAATGTATTGTGGTTGGTTAATTTTTTTTAAAAAAAAAATTTCTCCTATTTTTGGTTGATATGCGTATGTGGAGTTGTGAGGTTCCGATCTGAGTCGAAGCGGTGTTGGACTCACATAATATAAGTCTTATGTGGATCCTACCCATATGATTAATAAAATTTTTCAAATCTCTAACATTTTATTTTCTTTTCTTTTTTTGGATTTTTTTTTCAAGGTATTTTCTTGTTTGTTGCAGCAAATATATTCTCTTTATTTCAAAATATTAATTTTTATTTTATTTTTTTATTATCTTAAAATATTAATTTTTTAAAATTTTTTCATTCTTTTAAATTCATTAACATTAATATTTTTAAAGTATAATAATTATACTACTAAAGGATAGTTTTAGAAAATATTTTTGAAATATAATAATTATACTATAAAAAAATTAAAATTTCTATAAAAAATAAAAAATAAAAAAAACTAATATTTTAAAACAGAGTGAGTAATATTTTTATTTTTTAATCTATTACAATAAACACAAAAGGAATGTTTATTTATATATGGTTGTACACATATTTTTATAGCATGATATAACTAAAAGTATTATTTTAAATTATAAATAGCACAATATATTGTTGAAATAATTTTAAGGTAAATTACATCTAGTGAGATTTGTAAAAAATATAGATTTTTCCTCTCGTTTTGAAAATTACAAATATTCTTTTGTCATAATTTTTCTTACAACTGGCTTAAAAAAAAAAAAAAAAAATCTCAAATGCCCTCTAATACCAAAATAAAATTATTATACTATTTTCATCCACCTATTACCAAATTTCTCTCTACACTATCACAATATTTTTAAACTCTCCTCAGCGATGCACCAAGTGTTTGTAAACAATAATGACTGTTGTTGATTGAGCGGGAATTGGTGGTGTAATGGTTGAGCAAAGTAGTTTGACTCTCCTCCACTACGCGAGTCTTAACTTAAATGGGACTTGTATTGAGGAGTCGGTGCAAACTCCAAAGTTATAGTCTCTCGTCCAAAACGAACAACAAGATACCTTGGTAATCTCATCATGGGCTCTATCTGAAGCCTGCGGAAAGGATGTGAGGATTTTCCTGTAACAAAAAAAAAATGTCACTAGTTGAAAGAAAATGAGGAATAACAAATGTGACATGAAAAAAGAAATAAAAGTGTTTAACTTTATAAAGGTTAATATAGGTATTTAAAAAAAAAAAAAATTGTTACTTACCTCATATACACTGGTAGTTTAATTTAACGGTTGATTAACAGAGGGAATAATTGAAAATCTTAAAGTGTGGGACGTAGTTTCTTCAATATAAGGGGAAATTTAATATTTTTAATAAATCTTAGAAATTGTATTTGTAATTTATTTGTAATTTTATATATATGTATATATAGAAATACACATAAATAATTTAATTAACATGAAACGCATATTTATTTAAGTTCAGGATGTACCTATGATCTTTGCATAAAATGTTAAAGAGTGTTTGTGAATTCTTGCCAAATGACATAAGCGTCTATGATATAACTCAATGTTAAAGAGTGTTTATGATATAACTTCTAAATGTCAAGAGCTATCTGTTATATATTGAAATGTTAAAAGGTATCCATGTATTTTCATCGAATGTAAAGATGTGTTTGTGTACACTTTTTTAATTAGTAGATTGATTCCTGTAGGAGAGGGTTTAAGAAAAGAGTTGGAAAATTCGAAGATCTTCGAAGATCCTTGAAGAACAACTTCGAATTCTCTAGAATATGATGAGAGGCTTAGATTCTTCAATAATCTCAACTTAGGAACACAACAACAAAGGAGATGATGGAGATAAGAGATTGGGTGAAGAAGAAGGCAAAATGGCTAGAGAAGAGAATAATGGCAAGGCTCTCCCATTGATCTCCCACTTTCACTCTCAAGGTTGATAATGGAGAAGGGAAATTAGTTCTTTCCCAAGAGTTAAAAATCTCCAAAATTCATCCCTTGTAAAGCTATGGGTGGGTGCTATTTATAGGCACCTCATGATGTAGGATGGAGCCCATGTGCAAGGCACATGGGGGATATTCTCTCTAACCACCTTGTCCGAGGAGGTGACTTCCCCGAGGAGGTGACTTCTCCGAGGATGAGAAAACCCCGAAGAGAAGATCAATCCCTCGGCGAACCCTTCTTCTTAGCCACACCTAACCAATGATCCCCAATCATCCCAAAGGGTCAGGGGTAGTCCCAGAGGACGTCCTGCCGCAAAATATTGCCAAGTCTCATGGACCCCCCGAGGTCGTGCCACCTCGACTCGGGTATAGGCTAGTTTAACCGAAAAGTGAATTTATCTCCACTCACCGTCCTT